TACCTGCCTGGGTGCCTGCCCGCCTGCCTGCCGCCCACCCCATTCCGAAAAATCAGGATTGGATGTGGAGTTTCGGCTCAGGGTTCTAGGCCTTCAGTGGTCTCATGCTCGAACCGACATGGAAAAGCTTGGGCCCGAACCATGAGAATGGAAGGGGGTCGGAATGGATAGTCCTAGGGTTCAAGGCTGAGGGCTTATATGGCCTCCCTGGCAAGCATGGGATGTAGCAAACCAGACCGTACATGAAGGGGCGAAACGAAAGCAAAGGGATCTTTCGGAAAATGCTGCATGCTGCGTGCAGATGACACCAGCGGCACGGTCCTTCGGAAATCTGAGGCGACCCCAAAACCTCAGGAAAGGGCTACAGGAGCACTTTTTCATGGATTCTGGACAAAAGCGCGGGCGGAAGCAAAGTTCAGCGTGTTGCTTCTCAGGTGGCACCTACAAATGTGCTTCCGGCATACGCTTTAGGCTGTGGGCCACTGACGATTTCGGCTGAAGCTCCGCGACCCTCTGAAGGCTACTGCAAGGATGCACCGAGGCGAACAGTCAAATCTTAGTCCAGCACCACCCTCCTTCATAGGGCGTCTCCTCAGCTCAAAGCTTGCGGAACCAAGGGATGCGAGGCATCAGGTTCCCAACATCCGGAGGCTTCCATATCAGCCTGCTTTTGAAAGCTGCGAACGTGCTTAACTTAATAGCAATGCTTTCAAAGTCGCGGTGAGCAGCATAAGAAGCAGCAGCAGCAGGAGCAGCACATCACCCGAAGCTTCACTGTCATTGTCACTCATGTCAGAAACATCAGCGGCAACACCATTATCCACAATAACAACAACACAACCAGCAACACCATGATGAGCACCATCAGCGCCATCAGCATCACCATGTTCACGACAGAATGAACACGCAAGTTTACGAAACAATCCTTACAGGCACAGCAGAATACATGCAAGACTCATGGAAGTAAGAGCTCCAATCATAATCTTATCATCCTCCTCGTAGCAATCACAACGAAAGTGCACGTAAGCTCCCGGACCGTGGGCCCTTCGAGGACATAGTTCCACTCCAGGATGTTCGACTGCAACAACGGGTTTCGGCTTCGATGCTATGGGCTTAATTTCTTGAGGCTTTTCAATCTGGGGTATATGATTAGTGCTGAAGAACGGTCTGCGTATGTCAGAACCTTGAAGCCCAAATCCGGACACCTCCAAAAGACAAAAATGCAAGCCCCAAAGGCTCGCCTGTGAACGACTGCTGGGGTACCCTCATAGTACCCTTTATTTTGCAGTACCCTTATAGTACCCTTAAAGGAACCCTTACAATAGTACCCTTAGGGTACCGACTACCCTTACAATACCATTGTAGTACCATTAAAGGAACCCTTAGAGTACCCTTCAATACCCTTACAGTACCCGTAAAGGATCCCTTACAGCGCCCTCAAAGGATCCCTTAGAAACCCTTGCAATACGCTGAGAGACCCCTTAAAGGAACCCTCATAATAGTACCCTTCAAGGATCCCTGAGAGTCGATGTCTTCTTCTCGGGGGGCCTCGTCCACCGACACGTGGATGTGGGGAGGTGGGTCTTCGCCGATGGCCTCAGATAGCCAAGCCAGGGGGAGTCCTTGGGCTTCCGGTGGTTTAGGGGAAAAAACATGTTGCAGAAACTACCAGTAATCTATTATAGTGTAGTAGACCATAGTATGCTCTTTAGTAATGTAGTATACTATAGTTACTATAGCATATGCTATCAGAGCTTAGGTGCTTTACGGCCATGCTACTGCCTTGCCTTGGACGTCCGGAAGGGATACTGTTTCAGATCTGGCGATTACCACAAACCTTTGTGGCGACACTTTGCCAGCGGAAAGTAGAGCCAGTCGGATGATATCATATCGCCTATAATTGGGAAGTCGAGTTGGGTTTAGGGTTTGGGGTTTAGGACACCTCTTGCAACCGAGTCAAGACGAGCCGTAGCATGTCGTATCCATGTTATTGTTGTGATTATGTGTTATATCGTCGGTCTTGTTGCTACTGTCATGCGTTTGATGATATAAATCCTGCATTACCCATATGAATAAAGAATATACCATACTTCCCATAGTCTACAGTCGTTGCGGTAATGCAGGATCTATATCATAAACCGCTATGGCTCAAGTTAGGAAACTTCAACCGCTCTCGGGCCTTGATCTCCTTCCTCAAGCGCGAGATGGCCTGCTGACCATTTCGTCACCGCTTTTTTGCACCGGACCCGTTTAAGTGCCACTTAGTCAGATGACGACAATGATGACGTCTATGTGCGTTGAAGAAGCCTAGTTCCGCCTGTGGGTTCAGGGATTTGAGTTCAATGCCTCCTGTCCTTTTCAGCTTGTGGGATTCTTTGGAGACGGTGAGGTGCTGGAAAGATTCGGAGGTTTGAAAAGAAGCAGATTGCTCCTCGGGTGCTATGTCTACGGTCTGGTATAGGACCTGGGCTTATGGATTGGAACTTCAGACATCAGGAGCCAGGAAATGACTGTTCTTGCTGGCCTGCTTGGATGCCATCCCAGCGCGAGGGATCTAAAGGGGGCGAAGACAAGCTACTTTGAACCTGAAGCCCGAACCCTAAGCCCTAGCCGGGCGCTTGCCAAGGGTCACAATAGTGCTCCTAGCCGTGCTGATGAGTCTGCTAAACCTGGCTCAGGGCGGTGGTACACCACCGATTAAGCCTCGTGCTGCAGAAGGTGTCCGAGGCTTTAAGAGCTTTGCCATCTGTCTTTAAAGCTGCAAACCCAAGTTTCCAACAACGTGCTCTATCTCATACTAACTGTCTGATGCAGTTTCTGCTGGCTTTGAAACGGCGTCGGAGGCCAAGCGATCCGTCCAAGGCCTCATCCTTCTTGGACGGATCCTCTCAGAATGTCATGCCACAGTGCGCAGGAATACCAAAGGCTTGGAGCAATCTTTGATGCTACCCTGAAGCCTGTGGCCACACGAGGAAGCACCATGCTCTTGTCGACAAAATCAGGTTATTGCTTGCTTGTATCCGAACTGCACAAACATGACTCCGTTTTCGCGCACGCTTCGCGCAAACTAAGCAGTCTGGTTGTCCCCGATGGCCAGCGTTGGAACATCGAGAGCACGCCGGTGCCTTGCCACAGAGTTGGTGCAAGCGCAAGACTAGAATGCACACGGCGAAGCCGCTGATGGTGGTGGTCGTGGTGATGGTGATGGTGATGGTGACGGTGACGGGGATAGTGATGGTGATGGTCCCTTTCCCGCTCTTGGCGGCGATGGGTATGGATCACACAGTTGATGCTATGAAGTTTTCCGGTTGAGGTTTGGAGTTTGCGGGGGTTTAGGTTTCAACAGTAAAGAGGACGCTAGCCCTGCGGGAGAGGTTGTTCGGGACAAGTGAAGTGAAGTCAAGGGCATAGATGAACTTGCAATTTGTTGCCATGAAACTCATAGTAGCGGGTATAGCACAGGACTCGCAACAGGGTGCTGAGATGAAAGGTTTGAATGCAGTGGTGCCTGGACGAAATGCTTTGTCCAGACGAGGACACAGACCGAGCCAAGCAAGGGCAGGTAATTCCTCAAAGATCTCCTTTTTAGGGTTCGGTGTATTATACCATACTACATTATATTATAGTATAGTATAGTATGGTATAGTATAGTATAGCACATGATATTATACCGGGCTTAGGATTTAGGGTTTTACTGGCTTTTGGCTAGGACTGGAACACTACAAGCGAGTTGCAGCAAGCTTTTTCACCCCTCATATCTGCTGCTCGTGGGTTGGCGATTCGCCCTTGGGGCAACCGCGGCTTCCCTGAGCCAACGTGCAAGACTGGTCCTGTGTGGCCAAATCCGACCATCACCTGACAAGGCTTCTTACAACGCCTAGTGTAACTGCTAGTGCTGTGTGTTTCGTGCAATGGGTACATCTAGTCTTCCATGTAACGGGACATCTAGGCGCGGCAAACGAATGCTACTTCACTGGTCGTCGCCCAGTGAAAATGTTGCTACAATCTAGGATTATAACCCTGATTCCGTGGTATTCGTTGGCTTCGATAATTATTTATTCTGGGATTTAATCTGTCATTTTTTTGTGTTTTCAATCTGTCACAAATCTGTGATCAGCCATGTCGTTGGTTTTTGAATCTGCGATTTATTTGTGATTTTTTTGTGATTTATCTGTGATTCATCTGGTTGGGGCTGGATTCCAATCTGTGTTTTTTTTGTGATTTATTTGTGATTTATTTGTCCGTGTTTTCAGGGGTGCCTGCAGAGTCTCGTTCTTGACAGATTTGAGAAGCCGTTGCTCTGCGCGTGGGGGGGGCGCGGACCTAGGCCCTGGGCCAGGGCTCTAGGGCCCCTGGCCCAGGCTAGTCCCGGACCTGGGACAAAGCCTGAGGCCCCAGGCCCTGACACCCTAGCCCCAGCCCTAGGGCCCGGGGCGTGGGCGCCTGCCCGTGGAATCTCTGTCAAAAATTTGTCAAAAATCCGCCAAAAATCTGTCAAGAATCTGTCCCCCCCGCCTGCCCCTGCCCTGCCCTTGCCCCCCGCCCACCCGCCTCCCCGACCCCGCCCACCCCGCCCCACCCCCGCCCTGCCCACCCCGCCCGACCCCGTGTGATGCTGGCCGCGATTTGGGACAGATTTTTGACAGATTTTTCGTAAATCTGCCAGAGACTGTTGACAGATTATTCACAAATTTTTCACAGATTATTCACAAATTATTCACAGATTATTCGCAGATGCGAAACCCTACCAGCCGGCAGGTGACAGATTTCTGACACATGTGGATGACAAACTAAAGACAGATATTTGACAGAATTAATTCCGGAACCTGCTCCCAGAGATTACAAGTAATCAAGGTTATAAATCTAGGATCGCGCATGCACTGGCCTGCTGAAAAGCACACCTGCTTTCTCCCCCAACCCTCAGCTCTAAACCCTGGAACCCTAAAGCCTGCCCATCACTTGCCAGCCATCTTCTTCGGGAACTGCCGCTTCTGGCGAGTTCAGCAACCGCAGTTGCAGCGCACCGCGCGCAGATTGAAGCCTAGTCAGGGTTTGGGGTTGAGAAGTTAGGCTTCAAGGCCTAAGCACCAAGCTGACTACTTGCCACAGGGGCCATCACCTTGAAGTATGTGCAGCTAGTGACACAGCTGGTGTACCACCAACCATGTGGATGCAGCCAATCAAGTTGAAGTCTTGCTTCGTTCCGATCAACAGACGGGTCTAGAAACTGATACGGCATGTTCATGTTCTTACGGCAATTGGGCGAATGTGGAACAACTCAGGTTGCGGCTTCGCTTTACATTGAGATCACGCTCTTCCCGCAGACGTTCTGCCCGCAATTGCCTTATCTCAGCCCTCTCCCTCACGAAGGTTGCTGGCGGCATCGGCATGTCGGGCATGTCCGACATCGTGTCAATTGGTGAAGTGACCATCTCTGGCCACCTCTCCCGCAATGGCCTGATCTCGTAAGTCTCTCGCTCGGAGCTTGCCTGTGGCTGCGTTCTCTGGATCCTCTCCCCCTGCGATGAGCCTCTGCCTCCCTCCAGCAAGCGCCTGATATCAGCCTTCTCTCCCTGGCTGACTGCCTGTGGCTTCTGTGGCTTCTGCATCATCGCCATAGTCTCAACTGGGGGTACCGACCATCTCTCCGGCAGTCGCTTGCTTTCGGCCGTCTCCACAGTCCGGTTTCCTTGCGGCTTCTGCATCTTCGGTATCTTCTCCCAGGGATTCGAGCGTCTCTCGGCCATACGTTTGATCTCCAATCGCTTCATCTCGGCTTCATCTTTCTCTGAGCCTACTTGGGGCGTCTGCAGCTTCAGCGTCTCCACAGGTGGAGATGAGCGTCGCTCCAGCAATCGCCTTACATCGGCCTTTCTTCCCTCTTGGCTTGATTGTGGCTTCTGAGTTTTCGGTGTCGCCTCAACCGGCGTATCTGAGAGCGCCTCGGGCAATCGCTGCGGCTTCTGCATGCTCGGCACCGCCTCGACCACCAGATCTGAGCGTCTCTCCGGTAATCGTCGGCGTTCGGCCTTCTCCAAAGGTACTTTGCGGCTTGCCGGCAGCTTCTGCATCTTCCGTATCGCCGGCGGAACTGGTGCAGTCTCCACACTTCCGCCACTGCCCATGATGTGGAGAGCTGCGCAGTGGCTGTCTTTGAGCCACACAGACTCGCAGGCAGCTTCAAGTCACAACACACTGGACGCGAAGATCGGAAAAGCTGGAAGGTTGCTTTAAATGATTAAGGCCCCTTTTAGGATACGAGGTGCACGGCCCAAGGCTTGATCATCTATTTCGAAAGTCTCTTACATCGCCAGATAGAGCTCCCACCTTGCCCACCAGGGCAAAGAGTTGGTCCTGCTCCCGCCGCGAGGGCCACCTTCTGGCTCCACACTTGGAGCCTGCAAGTGACGCCGATGACACTTCTATGTCACTAAATGCGTGAGTGTGCACACTACGTGTGTGCGCAAGACTGTGTTGTGGATTGGACCACTACGGATTGCAGCAACAGATTTTTGCTACAACGCTGGCAACAGTATTGTACTATAGTCTAGAGCACTAAGAATGATTACAACTTTTCAGACATGCAAGTAAGTTCGAAAGCGACAATCTGGACAGCCCTGGCTGAGTGTGGAAAACATGATGGAACAAAGCTTTTGAAGGCTAGCTCTATGTTGCCGTACCCAGAAAACAGTTCAAAAAAAGCTCGGTGTGCACACAGTCAGCTCGTGCAGTTCATCAATGTCACAGCAGACCACCTGCAATCGACTAACCCCTGCACTGTTTTGCCAGCTGTGGGTCGGGTCAGACCATTTGGCGCACGATGGTGAAGAAGATATCGTTCACCTTGGTGTCAAGAACACCTTCTGAGAGAGAGGAAACACACATTCTCGATTTTTCAACACAGCTGTGAAGTCAGAGCCCAGGCCTTGAATTTTGCCATGATGTCGTTGACGTTGGTAGCGACCTCCATCTCCGTCTTCGACACCACGACATTCCAGCCTCGGCCCCAGTTCTTCACCAAGGCTTCCTCCAACTTCTCGGCCATGACGCTCTCCGACACACCGGCTTTCACCACTTCCCCGATCTGCTGTCCTTGAGAAGCGGGTCGGAAACTTCTTTGAAAAGCAACGCTCTTGGAAAAGGATAGAAGTGACGTGTCAAAATGTTTGGGTGGCACAGCCAAGTGTCTCATGAATTGCAAGCTCTGCTGTTGAAAGATGTTCCGAACATATCGCAAACCTTGACCGAAGGTACGCAGCAGCACTTTGTCTGAGTCACCCACGCCGTAGTTGACATTCTTCAAGAACGGCGGTGAATACTCAGCCCTCTTGAGAAGGGTTACGTACAAATCTTTTCCTCCCTGCTGAATCCTGAAGCGTCCCACAAAGTCTTTGGCGGCTCTTCCAATCCCCACTTCGGCTTTGGAAACCAGAACTGTGATGTCATTGTGAAGGGTCCCATACCAAATTCTCCAACCAGCTTCACGGATGGACTTGGCGATCTCTTCACCAGTGGGCAGGTGTGCCGCCGACTCTACGGCTTCCACGATCCTTGGCGTGACGAAGGTTGGATGATTTCGGGCTCCCCTTTGACAACTCTAAGCAACATGATGCGAATGTTGAGAAACTATGAAAAGATGCAAAGTTCGAATCAGAGTCAGTCTACCCATCAGTTCCGTGTATTGGCCCCCCTCCAAGTTCTGCAGTCCAATCATCCTCACGCCTTTCGTCATCTGCTGTCCGGTGGTTCCGGAGGCAAAACGCCGGGCCACCCCTTGCAGCGGCATTCGACCCAACTGGTTGGGCATCCCACCCAGTTGACCGCCAAACCCCTTGGAAAGACCGACACCGCCGCGGCCCAGTCCGTTGAAGGCATAGTTGGGGGCGTGGAATCCATGCGCCAAGCCACCAGGAGCCTTGAATTGGAACCCTTTGGCTGCTTGTCCAGGCCGAACTCGTTTCAAACCTTGCTGGACGGTTTTCAAAGCCACGGTGCCCAAGCGACCACCTGGCTGGCCACCCGTCACATTGGCCTCACTGAGTTCTTTGGTGACCTGCTCCTCAACAGAAGACAGGCGATCACGGACAGCTTGCGCAGTCCAAGCAGCAAGGACGAATGCGAGGGCTCCCTTCATGGCTTCATGAGGGACGGGGACGAGCGCTTCGCAAACCACCAATAGAGCCTCACAGCTTCGAACTGTCTGCCTTTGCCAAGCACGACATGCATGTTCTTGACAGGGCAATCGACATGGCATCTTAAGCAGAGACTTGTATACACAAAACTCGTGAAATCTAGCGGCACTCACTCCTCGAATGTAAATTCGTATTCCCTTGAAAGCTATGCATCAACGGAAATTTATGTAAAAACGCAGCCAAACGCAAGCAATCTGCAAAGTCCATAGCAAAGAAATTCGTTTGGCAATCCCGTGAGTTTTGGGCAGATCTCCCGACACGCCAACCAACAAGAAGTCAAAGACAACCCAGGGACAAACCCAATAAATTACATGCTTACATGCTCTCTCACCTCTGGTGAGATCCATGGAAAGAGCAATCCGAAGTCGCTGTACCAATCTAGGTGGGGAGATGAGCTTTACGTGCGTTTGCCTTCGGGTATGTGGTCATCCTAGGCTCTTAGCAAATGCTCAGCCCCGAACCGAGCTGGGCATTTAAGCTGGCACTCTGCGATTTCTCTCCGAACGCTGGCACGTGGAGCTTCGGAAATCGATCATCTTGGCTGTGCTTCACTGAGGGCTCGGGGAAATCCCGAATCCCAACGTCCTTCTTGTTGACAGCGCTCTCACAGACTCGGACCGCAACTCTTTCGGTGCGCAACTGGCCCTGTATCAAAGCTTGCCCTCAGCGCACAGACGGCACTGCCGCCGTGGCATCACTTTCAAGCTTCTATCAGGGGCAGTGGTGTAGAGCTGCTGGGGAATATCACTGTTTCTGTCCTCATCTTTGCCGGTCGTCTCGCCTGCTAAACTCGATAACTCCCAAGACCCAGACCGCAAAGCCCATAGAGCACTGCAGGGAGCCACACAGCCCCAAACCTTAACGTCCTTGAGTCTAAGGGCGGTTCCACTCCTTCGGGTTTGCAAACCCAGGCTGGAGCGGCATCCGGCCCACTCGAAGCGTAGTATGGCTGGGATCCAATCATGGTCTCTCGCATCACAATGCGGTTAGACTGCTTGTTAAAGGTAGAGGGATCCGAATCACCATGAGGGCATCAACAAAAACCAAGATGTGTATTCGTGTTTGCTGTGAAAACCTGGAGGTGAACTCGACACTATCGCATTCACATTAGAAGATGCGAGACTACACCTAGTACTACGTATTAGTAGCACCACAAACACCTGCTTCAAGAAATGCAAGTCCAACTCTTTTGATACTCGCAAGCCATGCCGCTTTCTTTGCAGTCGTACTCTACCGTGATATGTCTTTGCCCTTGCCTATAACCCCAACCCCAAAACTGGACTTTACCACCATGACCCGGCACCAAGCAAAAAACCCTTCTTGGATCCCGCCGGGGCGTTTCTACCCACGCTCGCGAAGCTTAGCTGACCATGGGGCAGATGCCCAGGAGTGGCGCCCGACCCCTTGGACAGTTTATCGAGGGGTTTGCACAATTTTGCGGGGTTTCGTCAGCTGTTGCGGGATTTGGGCGAGGGCTCAGCTTACATTCTGCTGAGGATTTGGGATTTAAACCTTCGTGTCAACAATAAAGCTATCGGAGGTTCTGCGGGAAGCAAGGCGGCTTCTTTCGCCCCTCAATCGAAGACTGAAGCTGCCCTCAGCGCACAAAACCCCAAACTCCTCAAAGCCCTACAAAACCCAACCCTCAACCTCTCTTCTGAAAACCCTTTGTTAGCCTGCCAAAAAAAGAAGCAAAGTTCATCTCCAGCCCAGGGTCTCTTGGATCGAAGGGAGAAGGTCCTCGGTCTTCGGCCTCGCCCTTACGAGGATGCCCTCTTCGCCCTGGTCCACCTTCACCTGCCCCGGAAGTTGAAGTACTCACTGGTACATCTACACCCCAGCAAACAGCCGGCTGTTGACATTCAACAAAAGACGACATTGTGCTGCTACGAAGTGTCGATTGTGGCAGCACGAAGCACAACCAACCCCGGTTGAAGCCGCATCGGCATATCAAAGCCTTTTGCCACTCCTACCTACCAACGACACCTCTTGAAACTGAATCCGAAGAGCTGAAGATTGGGGAGCGTCGCGGATTTCGTAAGATTCGGGGATCTCTCTCTCTCTCTCTCTCTCTCTCGCTCTGTCTCTGTCCCTCCTTGGGAAGGGACGAACCCAAACAAGACTCACGAGCAGCAGAACCTATACAAGTCCACAGAAGCTCACAATCGGATACAAACCGCTAGCAGGAGGAGAGACTGAGATCTCACACGGCCTAAACTCAAGCGAAAAACTCCCCTGGTTACAACAACCCAAAGACTGAAGCCGTGAAATCCCTGGAGCTTCGGATCATCCTTGGAACGCAACTCCCTGAAGACCCAGGCCCTTGCCGCAGTCCTCCAACCTACACCTCGATACTTAAACTCCGAATCCTAGAAGGACGACACTCTGGCCTCTGATCTCGAAGAAGAAGACCAAAACAGCGAACAAATCGATACACGTGTGTATAAATACGAGATGTGTGTGTGTGTGTATGTATGTATGTATGTATGTATGTATGTATGTGTGTATGTATGTATGTGTGTATGCATGCATGCATGCATCTTTGCTTGCTTGTTTGTGCGTGTGTTGGTCTGTTAGTTTTATGTGTGTGTATATATATATATATATATATATTTATATTTATATATTTATATATATATATATACGTATGTATGCGACAGTATGTGTACATAGGATAGTTATCTAAACATAAAAATCAAACTATAAAACAATTACAAGAAGACGTATGTATATATATATATATGTATAAACAAGTATACATATATATATATATAGGTAGACATTATACACACACATCTACATGCATATCTACAGGCACAAACATGTACTTGCAGACGACAGACGCCCATATGCATTTGGCTTCATCTTGATCACAGGCACCCCGCGAGGCCATTTTGGTGGACCAAACCAGACCCTTATAGATCCCTTCTAGATCTCTTATAGTAGCCCTTATAGATCCCTTATGGCAACCTTTATGGATCCCTTATAGTTACCCGTATAGATCCCACACAGTAACCCTTATAGATCCCCTAGAGACCCCTTAAAGTATTGCTTATAGATCCCTTATAGTAACCCTAATGTAGACCCCTCTAAAGGGAACCCTAAACCCCCAACAGAGCTACACCTTGGTGGACCAAAGCATGGGATCCGGCGGCGGTTCAAAGGTCCGCCAACTCCACCTGGCCATGTCGGGCTGAAGGCTTCATCCCAATAGTATACATACATACATACATACATATATATATATATGTATGTATGTATGTATGTATGTATGTGAAAACATGTCATATATATATATATATATATATATATATATAGGATATATATATATATATAAAGACTGTACTATGCATTGTATCATGAAGTACATGATGTGTAATGTAAAACACACAGACACACACATTATCTAATACATCTTATACAATTTTGAATATCTATTTTTCAAACCATGGGATGTAGAGGGTTTAGGCTCTTTCGGAGTCGACTAAGCGGTCTTTTGAGGTTCTGGTATGCGGGTTAAAGGCTTGAGGGTTTTGGGATTTGCGGCTGCGAGCTTCGGATTCGGGGCTCGGAGATTCGGGCTGGCGCTCGAAGTTTTTGAAGCTTCATGGCTTGGGGTTTGGGGTTTAGGGCTGAGGGTTTCGGATTTTAGGGCGCTTTGGGTTCAGAGCTTGGTTTGAAGTTTGAAGGCCTTGGGGCCGAAGATTTCCAGTTTGGCTCGCCGTGTGGTTTTGGCTTCAAACGGTGATACGGAATTTACAATATATATATATATATATTACAGAGTTAGCCGGATCTCGTAATGCTTCTGCTGTCTCAAAGAAGGGGTTAAGGGCCAGGGCTTGAACACGAGCAGTCCCCTTTACCTAGATTCTGCATCGCTTTACATCTAGGAATGCTGAAATATTGCAGAATCGGCTGCCGGCGCTCTGGGTTTGTCGTAGGCTCCGGCGAGCTCTCAGCCCTCGGGCAGACACCAGGGCCGAAGCTGAGAAACCCAAACCGACACAAACCCCGAACCACGCGCCGCCACCCAGGGTTTGAGACAACACGAACTTAAAGGAACCTCCGTGGAACGCAAAACGAAAAGCCAGGACCACTTCTGAAGGATTTCGCCCTTCCGGTCCAGCAGCAGATACGATGGCTGCACCTCCGGGCGTACCAGGATAGATCTATACACGCACACACACACACACACACACCTACTTGTGTTGGTCGACTCTTATGCCTTGAGGTTGATTTGCCAATTTGTCTCTTGCCTATCTATAACTATCTCTGAAGGACCTCAGACTGCGAGAGCCACAACCACGGATGCGATATAGAAGAAATCTACGTTTCCATCACTTTGTCGAACGTTACTTCCGGGACGCCTGAGCACATAGTCAAGGTACAAAACAAGCAGCCCATCAGACGCAGGGAACGAAGTTTCGAGTCCTTTAGGGGGAGGGCAGTGGTCGTTAAATCAAATTTTCAGACCTAGCACCGGGTGTCGGGCCGTTGGTTTGATGCGGATGCTGTCACTGTGGTTACAGACCACTGTTCGACCTACAGGACAGTGCCTGATACCTCCGAGATTGCCAACGGACTAAGAACAGCTTTATGCCAGATCCCCCGCGCCATGTTGTACTTGACGCCCTTGTAGTCACCACCGAAGTTGGCTTCAGCATCCTGCTCCTCGATGACGTAGAAGTCCTCAATCAAAATGCCAGAGCATCGATCTCTAGCATACAACAAGGACCCAATAGTCGGAGATATGCGAGTGTTTAAACGAGGCCCTTCATGAATTCCTGAACCTAAGATTCGGTACCTGAAGAGCTACTTTCTAAACCACGGCTGCAATTTCCTCAACCCTGCCCCGTAAGTTGTGCGGGGAGGCTTCCGTCCTCACCGCCCTTGGCCAAGAGCTGATGCTCCGGATCCACGTGGAAAGGGAAAGGCAAGT